GGGTCGCGGGGGGACACGCGGTGCGGCCGTGTGCGGCGGGAGCGGCGGCACGCGGCCCGTCCCGGTGCGCGGGGGCGGCGTTGTGTAACGGGGAGGGGGCGGCCCGGGGGCAGCGCAGGGCGGGCCCGGCTCTTCCAGCCCCGGCGCCGCGTGACCGCGGCAGGGAAAAGCCGCAGCCCCGGTGCGGTGGAATGGGGTGAGGCGGGAGGGCGGCTGCGGGCACGGCGACCGCGCTCCCGTCCCGCTTTGTTAGCGAGGGAGATCGGCGGTGCCGGGGTTGCCGACTGGGGAGGCCCTGCTGCCGCAGCGTCCCGGGGACCGGTTCGGTCTCCCGGCCGGTTCTCCCCCTGCTTCGGGTCCGTGTGGTGTTACTGCTTCCCAGATTTCCGTGCTAATGGAATACCAGCACGCTGCGGTGTCCCCCGCCCCGTCCCTTAAGTAAATCCCGCCAGGTAGAGCCCAAAGGGTCCTTGTCACTCAGCCCACGGTKCCTCCGCAGCAGCAGTACCGCGGCTCGGCGTAGCCCAAAGGACTCGTGTCACCACCCTCCGGCAGATTCCCCAAGAAAATCACCGGCAGTTCCCAGAACAGGGGTTGCCTTCTCCACCGAGCACCCTGGTGCCCTCTTTCTGCGGAGTGCCAGCATCTGTGTGCACGTGTACGTGCCCTATGTCTGTGCTCTTTGTTCTGAGATGTCACCCTGTGCTGTGTGTGAGAGTCAACTTTTGACTGCTGACCAAACAAAAACAGGGTTCATAGGGAAGTGTAACTTCTAAAATAACAAAAAATACGAGGAATCGTKACTGTGACGCCTGCAAGACTGTCAAACTCCCTAGGGTGCCAGAGCAGCCCTGGTATCTAGTGCTCCTCCAGCTTTCAGGAGAAGGGTGAAACTCCCCCACAGGCACGCACTTTCTGTGCTCCCCTGTGACATTGGTCTTACCCTTGAGGGAAAAGAGCATCTCTTTTACGAGCAGGGTTTAAAGATAATGGGGCGCGGTGGCAGCGCGGAGAAACGTGGAGTTCCCTGCAGGGGCTGTGCTTGCGTGTCCCGGTCTGCCCCTTGCAGATAAGGATGGCGCCTGCTGAGAAGCCCGGTGCCTCCCTTGGACCAGGTGAACTGTGAGCTTTGACCTGGCACCTGGCAGAGACGCGTGCGGCGCTGGGGGATGGCACAGACCTTTGTCAAACAGGTGGTGTCTTAGCCCAGTGCTGTCTGATGATGTCTTGTTTCTCGTGCTGTGGCTGAACCCGTGACCCCATTGCCAATCCTCCTTTCTCTGAAAACCTGATCCGGAATGCGTGCTATGCTGCGTGGCGGATTTCTTAAAAAAAAACTGTGCGGGAGCAACGCCTGTGTCAGGGTGCAGGGACAYTGGTGTCCGGGAACGTGAGCTGCAGTCTGTGTGTTGTGCACGTGTCACACGGCCCCTTAGTGTGACTTCTGCTCCCAGGCAGCTGTGCCAGGAGCTTCTGGGCTGCACGCTCTTTAGGGAAGCCTCCAGCCAAGGGTTTTCTTGGTGGAAAAACATGAAATGTTAAAAGAGGAAGTGGGCCAATTTTGTTGCCACAGAGGTGCCGAGAGGACCGTTAGGTCTAATAAAAGTATTGAAAATTTGTAAGTCAGAATTGCTCCCTTCAAGCAGATATCTTTTCAGGGTTGTATAATACCACTGCTTTTATCTATGAGGTGGTGGAGGCTGATGTAAGATGCTACAGCCCCAGCCTGCCAATTCAGTTGATCAAGGACTCTACAGACACCAGTGCTTTTTTCCTCCAAAGGAAGGCAGTGCCTGGCCCTTTTAAAGTTTTGAATTGTTACTGGTGTGTGGAGTTCCTTGCTGCAATGTCCTGAGTCATCAGTGAAGAGAGTCTGCTGAGCAGCAGAGGCATAAAATATAGAACATGCCGAGTGTAATTTATTTAAACAGTTTCATGGCTATGSCTTTTGAAATTCTTGTGTGAAATATCAAATATTTTTATATGGACTTTGAAAATGCTGAGACAAACTCATACRAAGTGCAAACAATTTTTCTTGCTTATGAGCAAGAAGAAGGAGCTTGTGAAAAGCCAGAACTGCTCCCAGGTCTGCCTGAGGACAAAAAGCTGTTTCATCTGAGGGATTCTCAAGTGTGTCAGATTGCAAGACACAGCAGGACAGAGACTGTTTGCAAATAGCAGCCTGGCAGTCCGATTTTAGCTGCTGCTAGAAACGCTACAAAGGCTTGCATTCGGACAAATGGTGTTCAGTAGTCTAACCAGACTGCAGTGCTATTTCCTTCCCTTGCCCCCTTCCCTTCTGCATCGTGAGCACCTCCCAGCCCTTCCTTTCTGTGCCTCTGGCGCACAGCCTGCATGAAGTCTTTCTCTCTGCCCTATTTCTGTCCCTAACCTAGCTTGTTTGCATTCTGGCTCCACAGCGCTGTTRAATCCTGTCTTTGCTGTGGCTCCAGATGAGCTCCGCTCAGAGGGTGGCAGGGAARCCCTCTCTGGGTCACTCCATGCCCTGTCCCTGCTGCCCCATCCTTMCAGCACCATGGCTTGTTGCTCCGTCTTTTGGTTCTGCCATTTCATCTTGGCTTGGATCAGAGGAGGCTGATAAGATGGGAGAAAGGGATGGGGCAGACTGGGAGGTCAGCCGYAGAAAACGAATGGAGACAAACAAGCTTGAGGGAGAGAGGGAGGGAAAGGAGTACTCCCAGGAGCACGTAATGGCTGATCTGGTGGTGCTGGGTCACAGCGTGGCTCACATGGCAGCGGTGCATGTCTGCTGGTTATGTCACTACGTGCCGCCTTTTTTTTCTTGCCTTAGGGGGTGTGATAGCTTACATCAGCTCTTCGAGCTCGGCATCTAGCCCAGCCTCATGTCACAGCGAGAGCTCAGACAGCGGTTTCCAGTCGTCCTCTTCGCCTGTACCATCTCCTCCAAACAGCTCCTCCTCGGAAGGCGGATGCAATGGCCGGAGCAGTGAAGGCTCTGACGGGGCACCGAAGAGCGATCGGCTGGAGGAGACTATTAAAACAAACCAGTCCAGTGTTGCTGGTTTGACAAAAGGCCATAATGGAGTCACAAGTATGTTTGGTGCCGGTTCCCAAAAACACCATTTTTCCCTTATGTTTTACAACCTCGTGTATTACAACCAGGTCCCCTGTGTGGCTTGTGGTGCAGGCACGTAGCAAAGCCTCCATTTTTATCTTCTGGCATTACATGTGTGGTAATACATATGGTGTTGCCATACAAATGCCAATAGGATGGAGGTCCCATTGCTGCCAACTTCAAACAGTCCATAAATACAGTCCGGCTTTACTTCAAATTTTCATCAGTGAAAACTGATCTGAGTAAAATCAAACACTTGGTTAAAAAGAAGTGATGAAGTAAAGGTAATATAATCAGAAATTACCTTTAAGAGTATTTATGGAGCTGTCTTGGAAATGTAGTTTCACTGTTCTTTCATACTCTCTCCCCTGACCCTTCACCTTCGCTCCCCCCCTAGTTGTGAGAAACAAAATAAATTACCCAAGCATAATATTTATGTAACTGTGGGTAGAGCAGTTACCTTTTTGATTTCAAGTCATAATTTATGGATGTGAAAAATGAAATACTTGTAAACCGGAATTGAAGGATAGCCTTCTCTAAATACATATAGCAATCTATCTCCACCTATATACTTCATTCTTCTTTTGGTAATCAGAAAAGATCAATAGTAGACAACTCTATTTGAGCAGTTTTGGAAGGGCAGGATTCAAAATAATTAYTAGAATGAATGATTCAGCAAACAGCTGGAATTGAGTCTTTTGGAGGCTAATTCTTTCATTGGCAAAATTGTKTCATCATTTTGGATTAAGTGTCTAATAGTTCTGCCTTAAATAGGGTTTTTCTATTGGTTTGTTTTAGTTTTTTTGTAAGTGTTCCTACCTTAAGTTTTTAGTAACAGCCTTTACTTAAAAATTCTCTAGTAACTAGGTTTTTGGTTCTGGGCAGAGGTTCCTGGAATGAAACTTGGTGTAAATTGTTCAGATAGATAACTT